TGAAAGAGAGGTGCCGGCGTCGGGAATCCCTCTGCCCTTGGTTTCTAGCAGCAAACAGCGTGTGAAGAGTCTTAGTGGTGCTCTGTGGGCAGAGAGTGGTTGGAAGATCCGGCGTCAGGGAAGGTGGGAGTAGGAGGAGCTCACTCTGCCAGCTGAGCTGACGCAGTAGCCTCAGGTTGGGATGTTGGCCTCGGAGTGATTGTCTCAGGCAGGTTTGTGGTAGAAGCTTGTTTGGCTTAATGCCTGTGATGCTTTGGGGCCAAATGTCTTAAAAGTGATTTTCTAGCAAGTAGAACATGTTGAAGCTGTAGGCTTTGACATCCTTCTGAAGGTCAGAGAAAGGTTTTTTTTTTTTTGTATCCCACTTCTGTGTCACTAGGGATGTGGGCATGTGTATGGTGGGGTTTTTTGTCTTAACTGATGCATCTGGTTTATCCAGATGTGGTTTATCCAGATGTGGCTCATCCGTCTTCCTGCGGTTGCTTAGAGCTGCCACACGATGGCAGCCTGCAGACACAGACGGACATCTCGCCCCTGGAGAACTGCACATCTGAAGAGGGAAAAATGGTGAAAACAAGGAAAATAGTCCTCAGCAGCTACCTTCCTTCCGGCTGCAGTTGCTGCCTTTGTCACCTGTTTTGGACACGTTGCTGTCCCTGTGCACGGACAACTCTCAGTTTAACTGAGGAGGAATTGAGCACTTGGAGCACGCAGAATCAGAGAATGTTAGGGGTTGCAAGGGACCTGGGAAGATCATCCGGTCCAACTCCTGGTGTGGTCCTTGCGTAGGGAGATTTGGGCTGCTGGGATGAAAGTGGAAATGGAAGAGAGAGAGGGGAGCAGAAGCCGGGTGCTAGGCTGGGGAGAAGAGCATCAAGCAGGCTTTTGGGCAAAAGAGTGAGTTTTGCATGATGATTTCCAGTAGGTTGGTTCAGGTGCTGATTTGCCTTTTTCAGCTGACCCTCCTCTTCTCCCTGGCAGACTCAGAGACAGCTTTGGCTGACCTGGCCCTGGATGTGCTTCGTCTGCTGCTGATGGATCACTGGAGCTGGCTGTGCACAGAGAATATGCAGAAGGTCTTCCACCTGCTTTTCGGGACCCTGGTTCAAAGGTAAGACTTGGGAACGGGACCTTCTTGCCTCGGGAAAGGGCAGGAGTGCCCAACTCATCGGCTCTCCGGGGACAGACTGGCCTCTCTTGACCTCCTGGTATGTCACTGCCCAGGGGCTCAGCTTGTCCTTAGTACAAAAAGAGAATAAACAGGCACAGGGAACAGTGATTTGTCAAGTAATAGCTTGGAGCGTGGCCTCGCAGGGCCTCTGCTCTCTCATCTGCGCCGGGCCAGTAGTGCCTGTGCCTCAGGCAGGGACTCACAGATGAGTTCCTTTCCAGCTGGTATGTACTGGCTGAGCTTTTCTAGGGCCGGTGCTGCTGTGTGGTGAGGCACTAGGCCAAGACACACAAACAGAGAGCGTTTCTGTTTGCTTGTGTAGGTCAGTGACTATCCCTAGCAAAGTGTATGGTCCGTCAGAGTGAACGGAAAGCCTTTCTGGAAGGACTTTGGCTCGGGGGAGTCTCAGAGCAGGGCTTTTCCCGATCCTACAGCCATTCTTCTCTCGTGGGCATTCAAGGCCGGTGTCAGAATGTGCCGGGCAGCACATTTTACCAGAGCAGGCAGTTTAAGCTGTCCTCAGCAGAGGTTGCCCAAGCGCTTTGAGGTCGGGCTGCTGGCCATTGCTCTCGAGTCCGTTTCCTTGGGTGGGAGGAGGTGGGTGTTGATCCCGTTTCTCAGAAATGGGCTCTGGTCTTTTGGGCAATGAGCTGGAACCTGACGCTTGTGTGTAAGCACAGAGATAGGAGAGCTTGGATGGGCACATCATCACCTCGTAATAGGTTGTGTCGTGGTCACCCAGGGAGCCTGCGGCACCCACACGTGGTGTTGGTATTTTCCACTAGAGAAGCTCTTGTAAGCACAGCCCATGCCTGGCTCAGGAAGGTGGAGGAGCTCCACAAGTCTGTCTGAGTACCCTTTAGAGGTGAAGAAAATACTCTAAGCTGTTCTGGGAGCTTGTGTTATTCAAGGCATCGTTTTTTCCCCACCTGTGACAACAGGCAGACAAACGTGGGGCAGCAGACAGGCACATGATCCTGTGCATCAAGTCATTGCTCTGACAACATTATTGGTGCTTATGAGACTTCCCTGTCCTGCTTCATTCACCTTTTTTTTGCATGAAGCATCCCACCACACTGCTCTTTCTCCTCTTCTCCGTAGCTGGAGCCAGGCACATTCTGTCTGCCCTGAGTGTCAATTCGGTGGCAGCCAAGGGGAGGAAGACTCTGTGACCGAAAAAGGTATTGTTAAGTAAAAGGGAGGCCGCGTGTGCAAAGCCTGCATCCGTTCAGATTTCATCCCATTATGTAACGGGGAGTGATCCTTTTTCAAGAAGAGGCGGAGGGAGCAGGAGACTTGCTGGGAGCCCAGATGACCCTGGGGCTGAGAATTGCTTCCAGCAGCCTCTCAGCACGCTGGGGCTGTGCCTGTAAACAAACCCGCTGTCCCCTCCAGCTCCGCACCCCTTCTCTGTCCAGCTCTTGTTTCCCTCTCACAGGCTGGAAATGCCGATCTCCTCTCTTTCCTGGGGAGGCTGCACCAGGGACCTGTTTGCAAAGGAGAGTAGATGGGGCTATTCTGGGCTCTGGTGGTGTTTGGTGGAAGAACTAAAAAGAATTTAGAGAGTCTTTATAGAGCCTTGTGAGTCAAAGCGGCGTTAAAAATACACTGCGAGCGCGCCAGCCACGCTGTGGCTGTGACCCTGCACCCTGATGGCCTGGTGGTCACTAGGTCAGGGGTCTGCTGGTGCCACCATGAGCCGGGGACAGCCACAACGCCAAAGTGACAACCACTGGGAACCAGCTTGCCGTGCTAGGGTTCTCCCAGGACCCATCTGCTTTCCTTTTGGGAAGGAAACACCCAGCAGAGCCTTAGAGGGATGGACCTTGGAGGATTTTAGGTGCAGCTCCAGGTCTGTGTGCTTTTCCGAGCTTCTTCCCCTGCATCGCCACAGAAAGCTGTGCCAGTGCAAACCACCGAGCAGAGGGAAGGTGTTTTGGCACATCCTGGCTGTCTGCAACCCGTAACCTGAGCGGGGCCGGGGCGCAGAGTTCGTGCTGGGTGTATAAAGGGAGCGTGTGGGGCTACGCGGGCGGCTTTGATGGTGTCGTGTTGCACTGAGTGTGAGTTAAAATTAAATGCAAATCACCCCTGCCTTACTCAAGAGCTCAGCACCGCTTGGCTTGATGTTCTCTTCAGTTTTCTCGAGGTTTGAGCCACTACAGAACTAGCACAGGAAAGGAAACTTGATTGGAGCTCAGGCCTGCTCTTGAGCTGAGTCTTGAGCCATGGTCTTGTGGGGAGCCTTGAGTGAGGGACACCGAGCTCTGGGGTGGGAGCAGAGGAGAGAAGGGGCACTGGGGCAGCACAAAGGGATTGTCTATTTAATGGGTCCTTGCACCCAGGCGCAGTGCTGGAGCCTGTCCATGTCAGGCCAAGTGTTGTGGGCACTTGTGCAACTGCTGGTGTGAGTCAAGGAGCTCCTGGCCTCAGGGAGTTACTTGCTGGGTGGGGGGTTTTCTGTTTTTTGGGGGTTTTTTGCCTCTTTTCTTTCTTGATCTCTCTGCCAACACAACTTTGGAGTTTGTATGTAGGAGAACCAATCTTATGGCATCTTCCTCCTCGTCTCTGGCTCTGGATGTGTGTCTTGTAGCTGCAAGGAACAGCAGAAGTCACAGGCCTGGGATATGTCAGCAATAAGGGATCTTCAGCACTGTGTGTGTCTCTGTGTCTATGTAAAGTAAATAAAAATCAACTTGGAAACTCGCCTCAATTCAGTTGTCTCCAAGCACCTGGAAATTTTGGATCTGGCTTTGAATCTCTGTCCCAAACCAAGTTTTTTTTTCCTCTTTTCTTCTAGAAGCAGCGTTCTTCCAAAACCAGCCCCTAGAATGAAGCAAGCACTCTGTGCTTTGATAACAATTGCAACATTATTTTAACTGCATCTCTCATTTCTATTGATTCCATTTCAGCCATTAGGTAAATACCAACGTTTTTCAAGAATTTAGGAAAAAAAAAAAAGCAGTGATGAAGACGACTTCATGTTTTCAATAGAGCAAGCAATGAAGAAAAGGTCTGAGAAATTCATGTCTGCTTGTTGGTTAGTTTTCCCGGGCTTGTGAAGGGTTAATGGTAGTGTTCTGTATATTTGGATTCTGAAGTGGGCTAATGAAGCAATCTGCTCTGAGCAGGGCCTGGCTGAGACAGCCTGGCCTCTCCCTGGGGCACTGCTGAGAGCTTAATTGGCTCAATAAATACTTGATGAAGATGTTATCAAAAGCCGGGATGCTTTGTTAAAAATCAAGGGGGTTTGGGGGGTGATTTTCTTAATCATGTAGCTTTCTCCCGTTTTCCTGAGCCCCACAGCATCACAGGGAGCTCTAACTTGAGAAAAATTAAAAACAAAGCTCAGTTAATTGACTGAGGGGAGACGACGTTGGAGTTGCAGCCCTGTGAGCTTCCACCACTTCTGTTTGCAGCAGGTGTGCTTTAGAGGGAGCAGGGAATGAAGTGATGCCCGAAATCCCAACACAGGGCTGTGGTTTCGTGTAGGTTTCGGGAGGGTATGATCTGGTTTCCCTCCTCTCTGCCCCACAGTAAAACAGCCTGCATAGCTGCTTCTCGCAGGGCTTCTTCCAGCTCGAGCTGTGGGGTACGGGACGTATCGTTCGTAGCGTGTACAGTTGTAAAACCTTTTATAGGGCAGCAGGAGAGGAACATTTCCAGTAAGGCAAGAAGGACAGTTTACTTCTTGCGTGCGTATCTTTGGCAAGAAGTTTAAAAGGACTCGGGCTGCTTTGTATTCTTTGATTTAGGGAGGACTTTTTTTTTTTTTCCTGTTTCCTTCCTCTGCAAAGATTTTACCAATGGCCTGGACAAGCATGAATTTGATCTGAGCGTGCCAGGCATCTTCTACACGTGTTTCTGCTGGCAGCTTCGTGTGGAAGGTGGACGTGGGCTCAAGCAGCAGGTGCTAAAAGCCGAGCCTGGGGGCGAAAGCTCTCTGTGTTTTCTCCATTCTAGCTGTTTCTTTGGTTTTTACAAGCTTTGCTCAGAAACATTTTGCAGTGAGAGCACTGAAGTGTTGCTCTTTCTGAGCCTCTGAGTTAAGGGCGTCCTTGTGGTTTGAGGCAGAAGTTGGGGAGGCATTTAGGAGACAAGGATTGTGAAGGGGAGGGGTGGTCTGGTGATTTAAGTACCAGCCTTTCTTGGTTTCATCAGTCAGATGCTTGAATGCTTTGTGCATTTCCAGATGTTGCCTTTTTCTTACATCTTTTTCACTACCTTGGTCTCGTGGGCCTTTTTTGAGGTTCTGGTTAGCTGTGCTGTGTTAACTGACCCTGGGGAAACGGAGGCCTCGTGCTGGGGTGGAAAGTAGTAGATGTTGTGCTGGACTTGCTACTGTTACACACAGCTCATGTATCTTTATGGAGCTATTTGTATTTTTTACAGCTAAAGCAGACTAGTAGAGGCATTTTTGTCTTTGTCTTCTACCGTGGTCTCCAGTTTGTATTTGTCTAAATCCTTAAAATCTTCAGGTTTGGAGTCATCACAATTGCTATTGCTTCAGAGTTTAATTACAATCAGCATATTTAACCATTCCTCAGCTTAGCAGTTTTTATCACCAACTTGAGAAAAGCAGAGGTTTACCAGTTTCTAGTAGACGGTTTTTAAATTTGTAGAGTACTGTATTTTCTAAATTTTTAAAATATTTTCTTTAACTTCCCACTTTGGGCCCATCCTTCTTTTCCAGAATTAAGCAAATCTAACCCATCCAACTTTTACTTGTTGCTGACTTGAGCTTTCTCTACCTGTGGGTGAACCTTTTGGATAGTCTACTTAGGCGGAGCCAGGTAAAACTGAGTCCAGACACTGTGTTTGGCCTGTTCTTGTCTCTTAGTCTGTCTTGACCACCTTAACAGCTCTTGTGGCTTCTGGGTGCCAGAGGAGGACTAAGATCCAGCTCCTTCAGCCCTTGTTTCTCATTCCCAGGGCATTTCTGCTGTTCCTGTCTTAATGAGCCCCTTCAGCTGACCTTGGAGTTCCAGCTTAAGCCCGTGGCATTACGTGGGCTCTTATTTAGCAGCCGTTTCATTCCTCCACCAGCAGCTATTTCCAACAGAGGACCCTTACAGCATGGGCAAGTTATGCACCTCCAGACTAACATCCAGAACTCCGTAGCCTGTGCAGTCTGTCTCTTTGCATCGGGTGTTATCGAAGCATCTGAACGTCTGAGCCCAGGAGGTCACTTAATTTCTATTTCTGGTCTCGGCTGAAGTGGAAGGAGATGGTTTGGTGATGGGTTTGTTTTTCTTTCTTATTAAGGCTCTTTCTTCATGAAATAGCTGAATAGAAATAGCAACTCATCAGCCATCCAAAAACGGGAAAAAAAAAAAGGTGGGTCTATCTGTGTGTCTTGCTGGATTTATCTCTACCTGAGGGCAAGCATCTGTGCACTTTGGATGTGAAACACAGATCTCAGATGCTTTTAATAGTACGAAATCATCTCTGATGTGCTGGTGAAGGGCAGCTTTGGACTAGCACCTCTTTGGAGTTCCTGTGTGAGAAGCGGGGACGGTTAATCCTGATCCTGGTGCAGCCAGCCTTGCCCGATGGGAAAGTCAGCGTGCCATGGGCCAGTTGCACAACTGCAGCACGTGCACACGTGATCGGATTTGTAGGTGTTGCTTCTAGGCCTTGTTGACTAGTTCTGGTGTCTTTAAGCAAATAAATGAGCTCGGACTGGCAGGTTGTTTGTATGGGGCCTTCCTACATCTGTCAGGTCTTGGTCTGCTGTTGAGCCGTCTGCAAATGTGTTCTGTCTTAAGTTCAGCTCTCACTCTACCCATTATTTACTTGATTTTTTGGCTATTTTAGGAGCGATCTTAAGACAAAGCTCATTCTTTGCTTTCTGCAACCTTTTAAAGGCTGGTCAGTGATTATTGCTGGGATGCCTTTCAAGTCAACGTTCAGTCTGATCTCCTGGGTGCCGAGTGGTGCTGTTTGCAGCTCTGTCCCCAAGCCTCGCAACTTCTGTTGCTTGTCAGATGTTTTCTCAATTAGGAGAGCAGGTTGTCTAAGAAAACATGTTAATGGAAAACCACAGTAATGAGAGCTCTTGCTCCTAGAAGAGTCACAGTTCAATGCTTCTATTTGGTTTGCTGTGGCTGGAGGGTTTAACATGACCTAGGGTGTTAAACTTCACTGATGGCTGGAGCTAAAAACCCTTTTAAGCAATTGTATTTCAAACGTGGCCTTTTCCCAGGTGAGACTGGGCTGTGACTTTTTGTCCTCTAAGACAGGTAGAAGCTGTGCTTTGGATCTCTTGTACCAGCATCAGGAGCATTGCTCCTGCTCCAGTAAGACCTTGCTCTGAGAAGCAACAGACCTTACTGCTACAGGAAGGATCATTTTTGGGTTTTTTTAACAGTGTTTGTGCTTGCAGCCGGCACTTCCCAGGTGTGCATCCTTCAAGACCTGCAGGCAGGCATCTTGTTTCGTGCTGAAGAGGGGAGCATCAAGCTGCAGCCCTGGCCCTGATAGTCTCTACCTGCCCTTCCTTTGCCCCTGGTTACCTTTAGGTGTTGCTATTCCTGACTCTCCGCTCGTGGTATCCTGGTCGTGCGGGGGGAAGAGTCGCCCTTGGCCCGAATGCCTCGCCTGAGAAGAATGCAGACAGTCTGGCAGAGCGCAGGTTAAATAAAGTTTGCCTTGGCAGGGCCCATGCTCTTGGATGTACTATGAGCTGCCGGGGCGTAGTGGTGACGGAATTGCAAGCACGAACGCCAGCTGCCAAGAGGAACGGGTCTCCTGGCCCTGCTTGTGGACTCCTCTCCTCTGGGACTCTTGAAGTACTGGCAAAATCCAAGCCTTTTCCCTACCCCAACCCTCTGCTGACGTCCCCTTCCCTGCTCTGGAGCCTCCCGTTGATGAGGATGGTCCCCATCCTGCTAAACCCATGAGGACCCTCCTGTTGGCATCAGGGATTTGTTTGCTGACCTCTCCTTTGGAATATTTTAAGCGAGTTGTGACTGACAGATGTTACTCTTGATATTACACGGGGAGGTGATTTCATGTCCGGGGAAAGAGGGTCCGGGGGATTGATTTGGGAACTTTCCCCAGCCAGCACTCGGGTGGTGCGGACACATCTCCCCCGTGCAGGCTGCAAACGCCTCCGAGCCCTTCTGTGGGGCGGCAGCGTCGGGATTTGCAGGTTGTTACCATATAAAGGGCAGAGCCTTGGCCCAGCGGGAGGGCTGACCAGCACTTCTGTTGGCAGGTACCGAACTTTCCTTTTTAATAGACGTGCGGCGCGGGGTTTTGGATGGGAGCAGCGATGCTTTCATGGCTTGCCAGCGGCGGATGCAGCGGGGCTGGACAGCAGGGAAGCAGAGGGATGAGAGGAGCACAAAGCAGCAGCGTTTTCATGCCTTGCCATCCTGGGAGCGGGCATGTTGGTCTCGAGGCGAAGCACTTCGGACACTGAGTAGCACAGGGACCGATGAGGGGAACACAGACCGTGCTTGTGTCCTTCCAGTCAGTCACAGGTTGTTGTGGGTTTTTTTAAAACACCAGTTTTGGTGGGTTTCCTCGCTGTCAGTTCTCATCTCCTTGTGCGTGGACATAATTTAGGAGATAAGAGCCGGTCCTGTCTCTTAGCTGTGCTCCCTTTAGGACCTGTTACTCATTTGGTTTCTTGTGGGCAGCAGAGCGATGGAGCTTTTCATAGCTTTTGCTTCCCCACTGTGACTTTGAGTTAGCGTTTCTGTCTGTAAAATGGAGAACACATGCGTACTCCTGGTGCACAGGGAAACTCAATTAATACTTAGAAAAATGTTTGACGTACGGACTTGGAAACTGCATGTTAACTTACCTTGCGAGCTGATTTATCCCCCCAGGGTCTCTGATGGGGAGAAAACTTCTCCGTTGGTACCAAGCCTGACTTTTTCTGACCTTTTTCGCTTTCTCTCCCTGTGCCTGCAGGTGGCTGGAAGTCCAGGTGGTGAACCTGACCTGCACACAGCGTTGGGTCCAGTATCTCCAGTTGCTGCAGGAATCCATCTGGCCTGGAGGAGTTCTACCAGCAGTGCCTAAACCAGCCAGGACAGAGGAACAGAAGAAAGCAGCAGCAGAGCAGGCCCTGCAGAGCCTGATGGGGATCTTGCCTAGTAAGTGTGGCCCAGACGTGGGGTGCTGGGGAAGGCTGGGGAACCCTCCGGTGCATTGGCAGCACCGGAAATGTGGTTAAACGTAGAGGTCGAGTCTGCTTGTGCCAAGGTGATGAGAAATGTTTGTGGCCTCAGGTACTGCACACAAAAAGCACAGCTTCCCAGTTCTGAGCAGTCTGTACAAGCATTCGGCGAGCAGTGTGGCTCACAGAAAGGGCTCTCTTGCTCGTTCCCAGCTGCAGAGTGGCCACATACTCTGTGCTTAGTGCTGGTGGTGCAGATCCTGCCGAGCCACCTCCAACAAGGTAGTAGCGCTCCTGAAAGCCAGTGCCATGCTGTGCTCCCGCCTGCTGGCAAAGGGTACCAGCACTGGGAAGATTCCTAAGGCCAAGCCTTTGGCTTCTTGCTCTAAAGAGTGGCTTTTCCACTGGACTGAAATCATCAGCCCAGCTGCACTGGATTTCCCCCTCTTGAAGTTTGACACGGGGACCTTTGGCATTAAAGCAGCTGCTGCCTAATCCATGTGAGCACAGTCTGAACTTTTAACTTGTTGCTGCAGTGCGAGGGGCCCTTGCTCTCCTTTGGGGATGAAAAAGCTCTACCAGGATGTGCCCATCCAGCCTGAGATGCTTCCCTGGGCATGTGTCGTTTTTAAAGCTTTGTCTTTTGATGTTGGCAGATGTGATCCAAGAAATCCTCGGAACCAGTAAGTGTCGGATGAGCTGGAATGTGGTGCTGGAATCCCTGGGCCAGCCTGTGATCAACAGGTACATGAGTTTTAGAGTCTTTTTGACCCCAATAGCCTTTGCCGCGGGGCCTGTACGCTATGCTCAGAGCTTCGCCGCGAGATGAGTGCTGGCAGCTACTTGGCACAGGACATGCCTAGCTGATTATCCTAGGCTTATCCTATCAAAGGGCATCTGGCTTGCTTCTAATGAAGGTGCGTGTCTAGGACCTTGGTATGGCTGGAGATTACTGAGCCAGTCTTGTTAATTATGTTACTAGGCCTGTGTAGTTTGTGGAGGTCAGGGGGCTGTCAGAGGAAAATAAAACGAATCCTGGTTTAGTTTGTTGTTTTTAGAGGAGCTGAGGGAGCTGCATGTATGAGTGGCAATGTTTGTCTGTATACCCATCGCTGTGCCTTTGGAAAACGATGGTTTTGTGATTAACTGTGGAAAAATGTATGTGCCACCTGGCTCCAGGAGATGCATTAGTGTTTTCTGTGCTGCTCAGTAGCTTCAAACACTCACTGGTTTGGGAAGTGGAAAAAAGTAAGAACCATCCCTTGAATCATGTCTTCTCTAGGGTATGAGATCTTTGGTTTTTCCCTGATGGCAGTCAGAACACTTCTTCCTTGCTTTGGCTTCTGCATGTCTGGAGCTGATCTCCCAGCTCTGTGGTGCCCTGACCAGCCTAAGCTTTGTCTTCTCTCCCTTTCAGGCACCTGGTTTTCTGCCTCTTGGACATTCTGCTGGAGTTCTTGGTTCTGAAGGGCTCCAGCGATGAGCTCGAGGCTGCAGCTGTTGTGCCGTCTGCCTCCAGAGGCCTGGACAAAGCAGGCATTTCAGCACGTTAACCAGGGCTGGGGTAGCCAGCAGCAGAGAAAAGAAGAGAAGCAGCCACAGGCATGGAAAGACTTGACTTTCAGTGTTTACTGAACATGTCTGGGAGCTTCTTGTAAAGAAATTTTCCAGCCAGCGCTAAATGAGGCTGCTTCCAGGCTTCTCTGATTTGGCTGGATGTTGGATTAAACCCAGTGTCAGGGGCTGAAGATGCTTTTCTGCTGTGCAGCATCTGTTCCGTTGCTGACCTGACAGAGAGCCTGGCACGAAGATGCCTGACCTCTGCTGAGATGGCCAGTCTGAGAAGGATATGCAGGCTGCTTACAAAATGTTTTTTCTCTTGCCCTACATTTCTGAACATCTCGAAGATCTCAAGGCAGGCAGCATGTTAAAATCTGCTTTAGTGGCCACGGGCTCCACCTGGCACTGGCACGTGGAGACGTGGTAGCTTGTTGATCGATGTTTCTTCGGACAGATGAAGGGAGGACCAAATGCTGTTCCTGCTCTCCATGCATTTGCCACACGATCCGTTTCACCAAGACAGGGAGAGAATAGAGTGTGGTGATAGCCCTGAAGTTAGTGTCAGGGACTCATCCCTACTGCCCCAATGTCTGGAAGGTGGAGGACAGTGCGGAAATCCAAGCTGCTGTCCTGCCTTAGGGAGAAGGATAAGTTGCCTCTTGTTGCCACCTCTCTGACATGATCTTGTTCTGTCATCTGCTGCTCGAACAGCAAGGTGCAAGCAGGGTAGGCTGTTGCTGGCTAAGAGCTGTCCCCATGCCAAAGAAGAACGGTAGCTTGGCTGGATTTGAGGATTACAGTTCACTTTGCCTGCTGAGTCACACTTTAGTCCCCGAGGCTGTCACCTGGAAGGCGCAGGAGAAGAGGAGCTGACCCACGTGTGACACACAGCAAGGAAATCGGCTCCCACAGCAAGCTCTGGAAGAGGAGTGAGCTCAGGAGCAATACCCGACGCAGACAGCCAGCGGGTTAGACCACGGCAGTGGCCTTGAGAGCACCACCTGAGCTCTGCTGTTGAGTGCTCTGTCCCTGTGCTTCGGTTCGCTGTGCTCGTTACTGCAGCAGCTGCACGCAGAGGGCTTGAGAAAGCTTGTCGGGTCGCGATGTCCGCTGTCACCCAGCACAGAACGGCATGTCCAGTTGGCAGCTGCTTTTCCGGGTCATCCAAGACTTGGAGTGGGTTTGTAAGCTTATGCTGCCCAGCTGTCAGGTTTGTCGCAGGGCAAACAGACGTGGAGGATATGGACACGGAAGTTATGCACCAACACACCGATTTGGTGACGTGCTTTGGCGTATTTCCTGGGAGAAATATATGAACCACACAGTGCTGCACTTTTGATTAAGGGTGTGCTGCTCCTGGTGTGCTCTCCAGGTTAAAGCACTTAAAGGAGGAGATTGACAAGAGTGAAGTGTGCAGGATCACAGCTATTTCCCATATTGCAGTACCAAACGGTGCATTTTGTATCACCTGTTGCTTCTTGGAGCTGGATACTCTGGCACGTTTGGCCTTAGAGCGAGGAAAACAGAACCCAGGGTTGCTGGAGCCCTTTCTCATCTTCTTACTGACTAAGCTTCAAGCTCTCATTCTCTCCTTCGTAGTTCTTAATCCATTCTCACAGCTGAGATGAAGCTGCCCAGGAACAAGCAGCCCCTCTCTGTATCTTGTTGTCAGGGAATATTAAATCCGATAACAAGTTCAGCTTTTCTCTCATGCCAATCCTTTGCCTCTTTGCAATTCTCAGATTAAATTGAGCATGACTGTGGCAAAGGGAAACTTGTGCAATTCAGGTGGGCTAGAAGTTTATTTCCATTGGACTAAGATTAGAAATACTTTGGTAAAACAAGGCCAACAAAAAAAAATCAAGTTTGACTTGCTCTCTGTGTGTAATACTCATCAGCAAGCTCCCTTTTTCTGTAGAGATTTGTGCAGAACGCTTGAAAGAAGCCAGATTTGATCTCAAAGAGTTGCAGGCTGCTGTCATTCTGTGTTTAGAGCAGGGTTAGATTGGGGGGGGGGTTAATTTTCTATATTCAAATCCTTGTATCAGCTATTTGTGGGTGCAGCCGTTCAAGTCTATACAAGAGTGCTGTTTTAAATCTGTTTTGTTGTGAAAAGGAGAGCAAAGCGATGCTCCTAAGCACTTGTGACTCTGTGTTCTGACTCTGTGTTGTACAATAATACCACACTTCAAACTCATTTCTGCGTTTGGGTTTAAAATTTGCCTTTGCCAAAAAATAAACTGCCTGTAAGACAGCCCTTGGGAAGGGGAGAGGCAAAAAAGCCCAGGTGGGACTGGGAAGGGGGCAGCAGTTATTTTCCTCAGTGTCCCAAAAAGCCTGTCTGGGACTGCAGGACTGGTGGCAATGGGTCTGGGACGATGGTTTGGTCTTGTGTTTGTTCCCATCTCTGGTAGCACAAGCATTGCTTCTTCCTCCCTGACAAGTTGAACTTCTTGATTTAGGCTTTTCAGGGAGTGTGAAAGCAGAGAAGCAACGTGGAGATCTCTTGGCCTTTCTCCTGGAAGAAAGTGAGAGACAGCCAGACAAGCAGGGGTTGTGCAGACCCATCTCCACGTTTTTTGGCCACTGCTGCTTAGGAAGTTCACCTCGGTATCAGTCCTCGAGGAGGAAAGCTGGTAAGCTGTAAGGAAATAGAGAATGTCTGAAAAGGAGGAATTCCATGTGAAATATTGCATTGAAATAAAAAACAAGTAGAGGAAGCAAAACCTGATACAATGAATGGTTGGGTCATGTATTATTCTGGATTAGCTCAGCCACGGAAAGATCCCATCCGCCCTCTGAAATCCATTACCCACAAGCCAGTGAACGTTTGTGCGGCACGTGATGTGGGGATTGTGGCTGCAGCCAAGTTCCCCCTGTAAAATATCCGCCCTGGGGTAGATCGGTCCGTTTCCAGTGTCAACAGCCAGAGGATTAAGCATTTATCTCTGCAGAACAGTGGGTAATTAATACCAGATCGAAGCAGGGGCTACGCTCGAGAGAGCTTGCCTACGACTCTATTTGTGCAGCTTTACTGCCTGTGGGGGAGTTGGGGAGAGTAGGAAGATGTTTCCTTGGTGCTGCAAGGTGCAGATTGCCTCGGTGGTGTCAGGCTTCCCCAATGAAGCTGAGGGTGAGCTGTGCCCTCGTGGTTGTGGGCGTTAGGCATCGGGGGTCAAAAATGGATCAGGAAGATCTCTCCTTCCAGCTGAACGCTGGCGGAATGCGATGCCGATGCTGTGGTTTGCTGCCTTCTGGATTTAAATGTGAAATCCAGATTTTGGTGCTTCTGGCTTTCTTGAAATAAATTCATACCGTTATCTTGGCCACGGTCCACCTCAGGTAATCATATTCTTCCTACCTTAATGCCACTCCAGCCCCCTGTCTCCAGTGGATATACTATACTCTAATTCCTGTCTGGAAGTTACTTATTATGTTACTTTTTTTTCCCCACTGAGTACAGCTTGTGCACGGAGCACTGGCCAGCCCCCAGCCCTATGCTGAGTGCTAGAATAGTTGAGAGAACCTGCCTTGGAGGTGCTGGTGGTGTCCTGGAGCATCTCTCCTGGCTTGTAAGCCTGCCGAGCCGGGAAGATAGATGTCTAAACTTTCCTACCAACCTGCTGGAGCAGTCCTGTCTTGATTTGAGGCTAACACCTAGCCTGAATTTCCTGCAGTAGGTGAGCAATGCTAAAAGCTTGCTTTTTTTTTTTTTTTTTGAGTACCTGGTTTTGTTTTTGGAGCACAGTGTGTCTGCATCAGTGGCTTGCTGGCCTTTCCATCTCCTGAAGTTGATGCATTGGGTTGTTTTTTCCCCTTTGAGAAGTATTTCAAGTTGCCTTCTTTTCCTTTACCCTTTCAATTCTGCTCTCTTCATCTCTTGGCCTCGCTGAGCGGCTGAAAAGGTTGCTCAAGCAGCACTTGAGGAGAGCATCCTGCAATTCCACTTCCTTCCTTCCTGTTCCCAGGCCCCTTCCCTCTTCCACAGCCCTCAAGGACAGGGAGGGTTGGAGGGACAGCAGGGGTGAGGATCAAAGACTGTAAAGCCCTGTTGAAAAAACCAGAATGCCCACAGCTTCTCTGGAGCATCACATCTGCCGGAGCCTCATTAACCTTCTGTTTCCCCCTCCTACTCCTTTGCCCCTGAAAATCAACAAAGCCAAACATAAGTTGCCGTGATTGAAGGAGGCTGAAGTGCGTGTGCTTAGTGTGAAAAAGCAAAAGCAAAGCTGTTGGCTAAAGCCCCTTTTCCATGCAGGCCACTTCACTTTTATTCCGATGGAGCTCTTTAAATCTCGATGCTCTTTATAGTCGAGCTCTTTAACTTTCCCCCTTCCTCCCCTTGCAGCCTTCATTCTCCCCTTGTTCTGCTCCTTCCGCTCCACTCCTTTCTCTTTTGTCCTGTGAGAACGAGTCTTTTAATCCCCTTGTACCGCAGATTAAAGCTATTATAGCCTCCCCAACCTGACATTTTTCTCAGAGAGGCTCACAGCCAGATCTTTATGAGTGCTCTCTGTCTGTCTGTCCGCTGCTGCCTTTCTTCTGGGCACACTAAGCCTCCATCCCTGACCTTTCCCTGAAGAGCCGTAATGTTCCATCCCCTGTTGGTAGAGGCTGGTCTCAGCAGGACTCGGGGTGCAGGAAATTAAGACCCTTGGAAATTCACGAGTAAATAAGGAGAGAAGGGAAAGACACTGGGATATTTAAGAGATGGAAGTGAAGCAAAAGAACATTGTGTTTGCAAGCCAAACGCTGAGCTTGGGTCTGAGTTGTGCAAGTGTTTTTACGAGGAGCCAAACCATCCCCCTGGGACTCGTTTTTAGTAGCAGATAGGGGTTACCTGAAACTTAAGTTGCAGTCTGACTCCACACTTTGTATTTGGCCTAAGAATAACGGATCCAGGCAACAAGTAAATGTGGAGTTTGTGAGCTTTCAGGCACAGCGGTGACTTGTACTGCTATGAGGCTGTGTCTGTGACAGCAACTTCCTTAGTATTTGCCACCTTTGAGATTTGCCCAGTGGATCCATGTGCTTTGTCTTGTACATATCATAAAACGACGTAGGATCAGCGTAGCTTGCCTGAAAGTGTCTGCTAATGACAGAAACATCTCTCCTACCATGTTTTCTGGCTCTCATCAGTCCTGCTGCTACAAGGT